TTATAAACAGCAGTATTTGCCAAGGCATCAGCAACAGAGTTGGCTTCTCTGTATATATGCCCCAAAGTAAACTGCATTCTATTCAAAAAGGCCTTAATCTGATCCAGAAAACCTAGCAAAGGCCAGGCACAATCCATCATACCCTTAACAGTCTTGAACAGCACCAATGAGTCTGACTCAATGCAAATTCTCTCTCCAAGCAAACCATACCTATCAATCATACAAAAACCATCCAACAGAGCTTTAAATTCATCTCTCATATTAGTCTCCATGCCATACCAGAATAACGCTACACAGACCAATCCTCCCCACTCATTCCTGAGAATTGCTCCACCTCCAGCTGCACCAGGATTCCCCTTTGCAGCACCATCAACATTAAGCTTGAGCACCCCAGACCCTGGACAGGACCAACAAACTCATATAGCTTTGGTGATACAATAATTCCTAAGGAATTCAACATCATTTTCGCACTTTCATTATCCAACACCTTTGGTTTAATCAATCTGACATGCAACCTCAGAAAGCTGCAAATTTTCAGAAAGACAGAATAAGAATTAATCTGTCCTTCCTCGTCTCTCCTCCTACACCTTTCTATCCATATTGGCCAGAAAATCAGTAAGGAAAGACTTCTCAACAAGCTGCAACAAATAGTTTCCCTCTTGAATACTCTGCACAACCTCTGCATTCTAACCAGAGGTAATTCCTCATTAATCAACTGGAAACCCCCCAAACTTGCAAACCTGCTCCAAAGAGCTTTTGCATACTTGCACTCCACAAATAAGTGTACTGCACACTCCTCTCCCTCATAGCACCTTACACACACATCTACTCACCAAATGAATCCCACATAACTTGACTTTGGAATCCATAGGTAAAGCCTTCATTAATAACTTCCAACTCACTAGTTTAGCACTAGGTGCAGTGTTCATCCTCCAAAAAACTTTAGCAACCTCATTCTCCATACCTGGAACCCTTACCATATTCCATGCATCTTTCAAAACAAAATCACCAGACACAGAATGTCTCCATACAAGCTTATCAGCACTATCAGACAAAGTTAAACTGCATCCCAAAATCTTTGATCTCAACTGCTCAGTCAAAAAGTCATTCACTTGTTCCAACTGCCATTGAGATCCTACAAACACCTCAGATACTTTTGGAAAAAAAGAAGGCCTCACCTCCATTCTACATATCAGAGGTCCCCCTTGCAACCAATGATCACACCAAAAGTCAACTTGATCACCTTTACCAGCCAACATTTTAGACTGCATAACCACATGTTCAAAAAAAGGAACCAAAGCCTTAAAACATTTAGATTTACCCCCAATCACACTCCTCAACAAATGATTACCTTTAAGGAATTTAGTAGAGAAAACCTGAGACCATAATGATGTACCTTTCAGAAGACCCCAAGCTTGTTTTACTCTAAAAGCAGCTTGTAGTTCCTCAAATTTCCTCACCCCCAAACCTCCCTCTAGTTTTGGTAAAGTGACCTTACTCCAAGCCACCGAATGCCTTTTCCTAACATCCAGTCTACTAGACCATATGAACCCTGCCATTATAGAATTTAACTTGCCAATAACACCCTTTGGCATATTCAAACAAGCCAATAAATGAATGGGCACAACACTCAAAACAGTCTGCACCATCAAGACCCTGCCCATGTTGGACAGCATCTTAGCATACCATCCCTCCAGTCTACTTCTGAACTTATGAACAACTCCTTCAAAGCAAGGTAAGTAAAAGGACACTGCTTAAGTGGAATTCCAACAATACCAGAAAGCTCCTGTCTTCTACTACAGGATATCCACTTTGAGCAGAACATAGAACTTTTCTGCACACTCACTTTCTGACCAGCAGATTGTTCATACTCACCCAGAAACTTCATCAAGTTCACCAGAGACCTTTTACATCCCCCGAGAAAAACCAAAGTGTCATCAGCAAAAAGCAAATGAGACACTAAGGTTGTCCTTCTCCCCAAATGATACCCCTTTACTAAGCCCTCCAAATAATTTTTCATCAAACCTCTACTCAGAAAGAATAAACAGACAAGGAGAAATTGGAACCCCTTGCCTAAGGCATCTAGAAGCAGGAAAAAAACCAAACCTTTGCCCATTTACACAAATAGAGACATGCTGGCTATCCAAACAGTTATGAATAATCTTCACAAACATCTCAGAAAACCCCAAACAAGAAAGAGTTCTCAGCAAGAAGTCCCACTCAAGCCTATCATAGGCTTTCATCATATCAGGTTTTAAGAGCATATTACCAGCCTCCACCTTTCTATCCAAGTTCTCCACCATTAATTGAGCCAAAGCAACACAATCACTCCCACTTCTACCCTTCACAAAGCCATGCTGCTCATTGGAAACTACCACTGGTAAAATAGGAGCAAGCCTGGAAGCCAAGATTTTAGTAAGCACTTTATACAAAAAATTACACAAGCTAATAGGCCTAAAGTCTGAGAAAGACACAGGATTAGGCTTTTTATGAATTAGCACAAGCAATGTGGCATTAGCAGACCTTGGAACCTTACCACCTTTCAAGAAAAAGTTCACTGCTCTCACCAAATCAAGTTTAATAACCTCCCAGGCCACCTGGAAAAACTTCCCAGAAAAACCATCTACCCCAGGTGAGCTATGTACATACATGGAAAAAACCACACTCTTTACCTCCTCCTCAGAAGCCTCAGCAATCAGTTTGCTATTCATCTCCTCATCCACCAACAAAGGAATCTTAGAAAATAAACTATTCTGCAACACATGATTTTCAGACTTATACAAAGAGGAGTAAAAGCTTACAGCCACATCAGCAATCTCCAAATCATAATGTACCCAATCACTAGATTCATTCTGAATCTTAGAGACCTTATTTCTGACTGCTTGCTGATAAAATTTTGAATTCCTTTCACCATCCACAACCCATCTGATGTTGGCCTTTTGCCTCCAATACACTTCCCCCAATTTCAAAATTTCATTCAATTCCTTTTGCACTTTCTTCATGGACAGAAAATTACTTTCAGAATTATTTTCCTCAAGCAATATTTCTGCCTTCATAACCTCCTCTTCCTTCCTCCTAATCCTTTCAAAAATATTGCCAAAAATCTCCTTGTTCCACCTCTTAAGATGAACCTTCAAATACTTTAGTTTCAGAAAAAAATTCTCAATTGGATTTTTTGAATATTCTCCAGTCCATTTTTGACACAACCAGTGGCTTAAAACCAGGATCCTCCACCCACAAATCCTGAAATTTAAAATAAGAGACTCTAAAAGAAAAGGAGTCCATTACCTTAAACAGAATAGGACAGTGATCAGAACCTCCCCTTGCTAAATGCAATATCTCAATACTACCAAACTTACTACACCAATTGGAGCTAAACAAAAGTCTGTCAATCCTCTGCCACATCCTAGTTTATCCATGATGATTGTTGCACCATGTAAATCTGCTCCCAGTGTATCCCATATCCTGCAATCCAGCATCATGCACAAAAGCCCCAAACTCCTCCATTGCTAAAGTTGAAGGATATGCACCCCCCAACCTCTCATCAGAACATAAAATAGCATTGAGGTCTCCTCCTACCATCCAAGTAGAAGACAAAGCTATATCAAGTTCCAAAAGGTGTTCCCACAGTGGCCTCCTCAACACATGGTCACAACAAGCATAAACCATGGTTATATACATCATCTCAGATCCCAAATAGGAAGCCTCAACAGTCAGAGCTTGCTCATGCTGAACTACTATATTAACTTGCACCCTATCATCCCACAAAACCCACAAATAACTTTCAGCCAAAGGATTACAAGCATAATGAGTTAAACCAATGGACATAGCCAGTCCATGAAGCTTATTCTTCCTCATCTTGGGCTCCTGAATAGAGACCATACACACATTATTCATTCTCACCTGCTTCTTAATCCTATTTCTCTGCTCAGCTTTCCTAGCTCCCCTCATATTCCAAGATAAGTAATTAATCATGAATAAGAGAGAGAGCTCCATTCCTGGACTTTAGTCTAATAGAAACTTCACTAGAAACCTCATTCAGAGCATTAAAATCAGAATCATCCTCCTCCAATTCCAAAGTGAGATTTCTAGGTCTTTCAATCTCAACACCACCACCATCAGATATATAACCTTTATCTGGTGGATCATTTCTTCTTTCTAAACCAATATCATCATCTACAGACACATTCAAACCCCTCCTAGTAACATAATGATGTTCAACATAAAAAGAACTATCATTTGAGGGTGAAAAATGCCTAGTAACATTACAGATATTCAAATTTCCATGACCCACAGCAGTAACCAAAAGATTCCCCGTAGCCTCCCCTTGCACTTCCCTTTCTTGCTCGACTAAGGATCTCCACTGATAAGAATCTCATTAAACACCACTTCAGTAACACAATTTCTGATACCATCCATCAAAATAGGCACTATCTCATCAATACCAGCCACCTCATCTGGCAAAACACCTACACTTTCAGTTCCATTCCTCTTTTGTGCTTCCAGTTCACTTTCCCCATTCACATTTGTTAGAGTATGTGTGACTCATATTTGCTGTGTGCATAATGACAAGGAGGCAGATGCCGGAGCGGAGTCCGTGACGGCATCTGCCTTGCGGGATTTATATATAGGGGATGCTGATTAGTTGGGGGTGCGGGGGCAACGCCCCCGCGGTACGGTACAGGGATATTTTTGTAAATACGTCCATATTAGGGTTATATAAATACTTAAGATGTAACCCTATTCAATAATGGAAAAGAACAGCCGCTCGCTCTCGTGGATGTAGGCACATTGCCGAACCACGTAAATCTCTGTGTGTTATTTTCTCCTGCTTTCTTAATTGTTTGATTCCTTACTATTCACCATAATTGCTGCACGATCACAACAACATTCCCATTAGAAGATTCTCTCAACTCAATATTCACAACTGGGACTCTATCTTGCTATTCCTCCAACACCTCAAATCTATTCTCCACCTCTACCTCTTGAACAACGGTCCTCTATCTAAGAGGCATTTTACCTTTGTTTCTATGAACCTCAATCATCTCATCCCTCCCAGTATCCCTATTCTCCACCTCATAAATCCCCTTATCATGTCTCTTACCTTCACTCTGAAGCAAGATACCATCACCTCCCTCATGCTTCTTCTTCCGGCAAATCACAGAATCATGTCCCTGTTTCAAGCAGTTAGAACAATAAAAAACACTTTTCTCATACACAATCTTCTGCCATCGACCACTCAAACCCCCCATGTCTAACCATAACCTTCTTGGGTTATTAGCCAGCAGATTAACCTCAACACAAGCTCTCACTAAACCAGGGTGAGTTAAATTCAAAGTAGACTTATCAATAACCAAAATGTGACCAACAGGGCTTAAGATATCCCTCAAACTATCCACATTAAACAAATGAATAGGGAGAACTGGTCAGGAAACCACATTGGTACAACTGGTGGCTCAATACCAGGAAGAAACTCCGGGAACCACTTGAAGAACCTAAACAGAAAACCTTCTATATAGGTAGCGTCCTTAAGCCACATATGAACATAATCCTCATACAATTCAAAATGAATTAAGATGTGTCTTGGATCTAGGATTCCAACATGAAAATCACCTTTAGGTTTCCATCTGGTAATGATAAACTCACGAATTACGCCCAGAGATGGCTTACTATATGCGCATTTCCCAATCAGAGTTTGCTAGAATTTGGACAAAAGCTCCTGAGTCTCTTCAGATGTCCAATATATGCCAGGTTCACCGTTATTATATACAACTTTCTTCACAGCCTTCAAAACATTCGATACAGCAGGCCAAGCCTTCGCAGAAGCATCGCATTCATCTCAGATCCAAGAACACTCTGCAATCTGGATACATCAGATTCACATACTTTCTCACCACGAGACAAAGGAATTTGACCAACAAAAGTAGTATGAGTATTCATTGAGTGACCAATCGATGGGATTCAAACCAAACAAGGAAACTGAGTAATCGAAGGAATTTCGAGCACCAACGATGTTTGAGCAATCAAAGGGATAGAAGGAGGCATCACACACAATTCCTTACCACCAGAGAGATTCACAGAAGAACCCAAGCCATTAACAGATCAAGAACCAGTGTTCACAGAAGTAGAAGTTTTCTTGAACAAGGAGGCAAAATTACGAGTAATATACGGAGGTTTGGGTGGGATTTGTTTCTGATTTTGATCTGAATTCATGTTAAGACAACAATAATCCAGTAAACATTGCAAAATTTAGTGAGAAATCCAAGGAAAATGGAGTAGAATCGAAGGCTTGCAGGAGAAGTTTTCTAGAGAGAAGCTCTCTCTAAAACAGAAATAACTGCCTCCCTACTCACGTGTTCTACAATGATAATTGCTATATTTTGTCGCTTATTTCTTAATTTGTAAATAAAACTTAATATAAATAAAAAATAGCACACATTTTTCACGATTTGAGGACTTTTTTTATCTGAATTTCACATTTTTTCCTGAAATTAGGTCTTAATTGATTCAGAGCCTAAATTATTCTAAAATTTTCATTGATAATGATTTTATATAAATTATTTTTTTAGTTTTTTTAATGTTCGCTCTATTTGTTATAATTTTGGTACTAATTTTTTTAAATTTTTTCAAACTATCAATTTTTTAAAATTTTTTGTCAACTTTTAAATTTATTTTCACTTATTTTCATGTGAACCAGAGATTTTTGAGTTTAACAAGTGGAGGTGAACAATTCTTTTAAAAAAAATGGGGGTGAACAATTGGTTTGGTTTAAGTATGAGCAAAAAAAAATTTATCAAATGATATAGTGAAAAATACGCTATGGTATGAAAAAATATGTATTTAAATTTTATAGGTTAAAATACAAATTTTTAAGTTTATATACAACAAAAATTTATAATTTAAGGTCAATTTTATGTTGGTTTAATCAACAACAAACAATATTCAACACAAAATGAACCTTAAATTGTAATTTATCAAAAATTGAAATTTAAATTTGAAGGAAGGGAGATAATAATAATATTAATATTGAAGGAAGAGAGATAGATGGGGTCTCTATGTAATAAATTTTAAACTCTAGGGATCTTCGTGTTATTTATAAAATATCAGGGGTGTCTGTATAATATTGTCAAAACTCAGGGGAAGTCCGTATTTTTTTACCCTATTTTATTATTAGATATTAATTTATTTTTATTTTATCATAAAAAGTTGAATTATTATATTTTTTAATAAAAATATTTATTGGTTAGGAAAGTTTGTTGGTAGGCAAAAAATAAATGTGTGAGTATGTTTCTGTGTATATTTATATGTGGAGGATTGAAAATTTGGTAATTAAATTTTTAATTTTATTGTGCCATTTGGGGTTGAATGGTGATAGTGGTGATAAATTTATGAGTTTTATAAATGAGTAAGATTTGATTGATTTTATTTATCGGTTAAAGATTGTGAATTTAATTGCGTTATGTTAATATTTTTTTTTTTGCTTGAGATATTTATTAAATAGGGATAGGGTAGATTGAAAATATGATGATTGTGTATATAATTATATTCTGTTATTGGATTGAGTGGTGGTAAAAGTGAAAAATTCATGAGTCTTATAAATAAGCAAAATTTTATTTATTACTTAAATATGGTAAATTTCAATGGATTATGTTAGCATTTGTTTTTTATTTTTTCGGAGACATTTGTATATATAGTGTTGTTTTGAAGAGTTTTATATATTTTTACGATAGTTCTATTAATATGAAGAATATGATCGGCGATATATTTCAAGTCATTTTAAAAGAAGAGTTTATATGAATATTTTTAGGTCATTTTTTTTTAATTTGGATAATTGTGTAAAAAAATTTTATTTGTTATATAATGCTTTCAGACACGGGTAATAACTAGTTATATATAATAAAGTAGAGCTGAGTTTGAATCCAAAAATAAAAAGAGATCCAGATCATTTTGAGACAAAATATAAACACATCCAACAGACAACGTAATCTCAACATAAAAGATGGTTCAGATCATTTCATAAATATTGATCCGATGATCATAATTAGACTTAACTCTAACACTCCTATCTCTTATATAACTCTCTCTATCTCATCTCATCTCCTCTCTTTCTCTCTCTCTTTATATATATATATATACACACACATAATAAAGTGACTAGATTCAAAACCAATATAATCGTCATTACCATTTCCACGTAAATAAAAAGTATAAATATACAATCCATAAATAAAATCATAAAGTTATTATTCATACCAAAAATAAATCACTACTATATGAAAACATGTAGTTCTCAAAAATGGAAAAAAAAAAAAAAACAAAGTCCAATCTAATCACCAATAAAAAAAAATAAGTGACCAACAAAAAATAGCAAGTATTACCAATTGCACAAAATAAAATTCAAAACTAATTTAATCATTATCACCATTTTCACACAAATAAAAAATACAAATATCCAATTCATAAGTAAAACCTTCGAACTATTATTCATACCTAATCACCACTTTACTCAGAATTAAATGAAAATTATAGTTTTCAAAAATTTAATTTTTATTGAAAGTGAACAAAACATATTGTTGATTGTCATAAATGATTAGTTAAAAGAGTATCTATTATAAATTTTGTTAATGGCAAACCATCTCATTATTTCATGTTGATTATTTTTTTTGTTAAATTTTTATAACTGAGTAATTATCAAATATTTTATGTTTAATTTTTGTAACGTGCAGTTAGCAAATGTTTAACATTTATGCGTGTTTATGAATATTGATGATTTTTTCATGTTGGTTTAGTAGTGTATGCTTTGACAATAGTTTATTGTTTTTAATTTTTAATGTTCGTGTGGTTTAGTTGTAAATATATTGCCATTAACTGATTGTTTTTAAATGTTATATGTTAAAAGTATATTGTTTGTACCTTGATTTATGTTAGTTTTGTTTAATTTCTAATTTTACGATAAAACTTTGCATAAATTTAAAAATATTTCTATTAAACACACATAAAATACATAATATTTCTAAGTTTAGTGTTTCTTTTTTCAAAGTTTGTCAGTTTACGTTTGACCCTAATAACCTCATACACATTATCATTACAACACAAAAATTAGTACTCAAATAGACAATATCACCATTTTTGGACATGTAAGTTATTTGATATATTGATTTTTTCAAGACCTTTGATATCATATTTCATTAAAAACCATTATATACTTACTATATAATTTTTCATCCTTCTTATTACAAACTGATTCATATCTAGAGTAGACTGTAAGTAGATCTTCTAATCATGCATCTTAGTATTGATGGTTGATGTTTACTTCTTATTTCTTATCAATTAATAAAGTTTAAATTGTCTTTATAATCCATAAATAAAATCATCAATTTATTATTTATACCAAAAATAAATCACTATTGTATGAAAACCTATAGTTCTCAAAAAATAAAAATAAAAAAATTCAAAGACCAAGCTAATCAGCAGTTAAAAAAAATAGGTGACCAATACAAAAAAAATAAGATACCAATTGCATCAACAAAAAATGTTCAAAACCAATCTAATCGCTATGTGTTGAAATTATTCAAACATCTTATCATTGTGTGTTGAAATTTTATAAGTAACATAGTGACTTCACGCACAAGCAATAACCAGTATTAAATATGACAGTTATTTTGTGTTTTGAAATTGTTATATTATATTAAATATTTCCTAAATTTATAGATGAAGTATATTGATAGTATCTTTTGCTAAAATAACATTTATTCTTTTTAACATCACCCATTTTGAATTATATTCTCATTATATTTGACATAAAATGTATCATCTTTCTTCTTTTCCAATGATCATCCATTATCGGTTTTCTTCTTCTCCAACCATTTTTCATTTTTTTCTTTTCTCTAATACACCATTGATCTTATTAGATATCAAGTTCGAACTACAAATCAGACATCAGGTTCGAAATTATGCTTTGATTCATTTTTTACATAATATTCGTGTTGCTTAATGGTCAATCACTCATTTTTTTTCCATAATATCATTATGACATAGTATAGTTTTTTCATAGAAAATATTTCATGTATAACATATTTTTGAATCAAAATAAGTAATACAACACTCTAGATAGTGTGACAATAAAAGGTAACTCAAACAACACAACACTCTATGAAAACAACATAAAATTGATTTTGACTCAAATATACAGGATGTGTGACTTTAAAATGTCTCAACTAAGTGTTCGTTGAAAGTGTGACTACATTAAATGACTTTATATAGAATGGATATATAATATGACAACACAGTATTAGTGAACTAAAAGATGAATATTTATTATTCTAGAATCATAATTTAAAATATATGTGATATTTCATAATTTTTTTTCTATAATCTCCAATATCCATCATTTAATTACTAATATATACGGGTCATATTACTAAACATATGTGAGCATTTGAAAATATTTCCCAAAATCACTAGTCACACTATAAATTTATATGCCAAAATAAGCAAAAATTGTGACAAAATAGGGTTACTCAAACAACAAAACATTCCATGACAACAACATAGAATGATATTAGATTAATATATTAGATGAGTGACTACAAATTGTGTCAACAAAATATTTATTGAAGATGTAACTATAAAAGTGAACATATTTTAGAGTGGATAGACAATGTGACATCATTGTGTTACTTATTGTATATGACAAATGTTTGTTCTTCTAGAATCATAATTTTAAAAATAAGTGATTTATCATTAAAAAAAAATACTTTTATATCATCCAATAGAAACTAGGGTTCATGTATAGTTTTACTAAATTTTAGATAATTAAAAATACTTAAATTTTAGAATTTTATTATATTAGAACTCTTTCTCTCTCTGATTTGAGATACGTAACTAAATTCAAAAATTAATTAAATATTAAATTCCTTAATTTTAGATCTTTCCCATATTAGATTATCTATACTAATAAGATAGAGTCCATTTTGAATTTCTCAAATTGAAATCAACTCTCCCAATTTAAAAAAAATAGAAGAATGGGTTAAGATTTAATTAAATGTTAGGGTTAACTGCAGTTGTGGTCCTCAGAGTATTCATTTTGTCTCATTTTGGTCCCCAACCTTCTAATTGCATCAAGTTGGTCATGTGCCATCCGCGTGACCACATGTGAGGGCTTATATGACATGTAACCTTCTTCCCATTCTTGGAGGGAAATTGATTAGGAGACTCTTCAATGTCTTCACTTGTATTGCAACAGAAAAAATTCTTCAATTAGGGCAAAACAAAGCAACATTTGGGCAAACCAGGCAAATCAAAACACCATTAGGGCAAAGCACAAGGATGGTAAGTTCCAAACGATGAAAGACTGGGAATCAATATATAGATGAAGATATTCCCCATTATGGTATGTACTCATTCTTATAGATTTGAGTCTAAGGTTCATGGGTAAGATTGATTTATATAGTTTATGTGTTTGTTCAAAACCATTTGTTTATGCATTGGAAACTCTTTGTTAATAGTTTGTGTGTTTGTTCAAAACCATTTGTTTATGCATTGGAAACTCTTTGTCAATAGTTTATGTGTAAGTTGCAATTATTTATAGTTGATGTGGTCCTTGAAAACCATTTGTTTATGCATTGAAAACTGGTCGTTAATAGTTAATGTGTTAGTTGGAATATTTTACGGTTGATCTAGTCCTTGAACAGAACCTGATTCTTCACTTTTCACAAAGGAGAATCATCAGCTTGATGGTGATGTCTCAGTTGATAAAGGAAAAAGGGTAGCATCAGAGTGTGATGAATTAGACAGTGAATACCAACCTGATTGTGAATCTAGTGAGTATGATATGCTGGTTGACAGTGATTATGAAAGTGAGTATGATGACATGTTGTATTATAGGTATGTTGATAGTGAGGCTGAATGGACTAGTTTGAATAGTAATAGGTAGAAAGAAACAGCAACAGACAAAAGGTAGCAGTTAGAACTCAGTGATATAGATGGTGATTCTAAGGAGATTTTAAGCTGCTTCAGTTCATCTGATGGAGAGAATCATGCAAGAAAATATAAAAAAATTGAAGTATTTAGGGCAGAAAATGATGAGGAAGACCCACATTTTAAATTGGGTATGTTATTTAGTACATATGAGGAGATCAAGGCTGCCATTAGACAACATGTTATCAAACATCAGAGAAATGTGAAAGTAGTAAAAAATGATAAGAGGAGGGTGAGGACACAATGTGAAGGGGGCTACAGTTGGTTGGTTTATGCTTGTAGAGTGCATAGTGAGAAAAAAATACCAAATAAAGTCATACATTGGTAAGCATACATGTGGAAAAACTTATAATAACATAAATGTTACCTCAAAGATGATAACATTGAAGTATATGGATAAACTAAGGGCTAATCCTTGTTGGCCTATAATGGCTTTTAAAAAGAGAGTTATGAGAGATTTTCATGTTGATGTATCAAGGAATCAATTGTACAGAGCAAAGAAAAGGACAATGTTGTTGATACATGGTGGTGAAATTGAACAATATGGTAGATTGTGGGATTACTGTGAGGAACTAAGGAGGACAAATCCTGGTTCCACAAGCTGGAGGGAGTCAAGCTGCTGTGAGCCAAGATAAAGGGAGCCAAGTTGCTGTGAGCCAATCTGATGTGAGCCAAGCTGCCGTTATCCAATGTGGAGGGAGCCAAGCTGCTATTAGCCAATGTGGATGCTATGAGCCAAGTTGGAGGGAGCCAAACTGGAGGGAGCCAAGCTATTGTGAAAAGAAGCTCTTGCTATGAACAGGTAATTGCTGCTAAGTAATTTTAGGCAAACAATTTCATTGAACTTTTTGGCTCATATCTTACCTCTTTCTTTATATAGCTTCAAGGTTCAACCCTTCGTTCACCATCAATTACTAGTAATGTCTTTGTTATTTGTATTTGAAGGGATAAAATACCATTAAGGAAGAGCAAATCAGCAAGCACCCATAACTGATCTGTAGCTTCTCTCTCTCTCTTTCTTTTTTTTTTGGATCCAAGCTTATATGCAATGTAAATGTGTTGCTCTCTTTTGCGTTTGTGATGAGAGTCTAAATTTGGTTTATGTACTTTTTCTTGATCCCATTTTGGGTTTGTACTGAGAAACAAACTTGTAATTATGGACAATTTTTTTTGATGCTAACAGGTTGTTACCTGAATGAAAATCAGAATTATGTACATATTTGTTTGATGCTAACAAGTTGTTAAATTAATGAAAATCATCATTATGGACAGGTTGTTTTGATGCAAACAGGTTGTTACACTTCCAATGACATCAAACATAATAATTACATTTATAGAAAATGACACTTTCACAACAAAACAAGAAAGCACCTCATACACAACAAACACAGGGCACCCTCCTACACAAAAACAGAGCACCCTCCACAGACAAATAGGGGACTCATACTTATAGTAAATGCCACACCCAAGTGAAAATAAAAAATGTCCAAGAACAAAACAAAGCAACCCATAATAATTTTTCTCTAGCTTTTGCCTTTCGTTGTTGGTTCTCTTGCCTTTGCTTTGATTGCAACAATCCAGATATCACTTGCTTTGTTCTATCGCACATTGGTGGATCATACCAAGCAAAAAATCCACACCCTCCAGCCTGCTACAAATGCAACGTTTTGTTAAATGCATTCAAAATTGAAAACTCAGTCACAGTAAAACTTAAATAACAAAATCCAAAACATCTTTTTTGCCCCATATCTTTCACATCCAATGAATCTTTTTCCTGGGTTAGTATCGGTCCATGAGGTCCTCATTTCGCCTATTTGTCTATAGTAGCATAGTGTTGCAACCATTCCAACCGCAACTAATCCATTTCTTTCCCTTCCCCTCATTTTCTCCCTCTCTTCTCCAATGCTCTGTAACAGACAATGGGTCATAGGGATATAACTCATAACTGTTGGTGGGAATGTTTCCATCCAGGAATGGGAAGAAGATTAAATGTCATATAAGCCCTCACCTGTGGTCACATGGATGGAACATGACTATGAACCATCAGAATTTTGGATGACGTCAACGGCAGGGACTAGGTAAGTGCATATGTAATACATGAGGGACCAAGTTGATGCAAATAGATTGGGGATCAAAATGAATACTTTGGGGGCCACAATCGCAATTAACCCTAAATGTTATATGTATGATTCAGATCTCATATAAACCCATCTAATTAAATTCAATGACTTACAATTCATTCCACCTAAAACCCAAATCCCGTCTACTATACCTGTGCACACATGCCACCCAACTCAAACTATACCTACACACAAGCCAGTTTCTCTCTTCCAAAACAGACCAACGCCCTCTCCATAATGGAAGACGCCCAGGTCTCTTTATCTCTCTCTTTTTCTCACGATTTTCCCACACATACAACTTCTCTCTCTTTCTCTTCCTCTCCATAGCCCCCGCATCCTTGTGGCTTCTCTACCTCCACAATCCCTATGAATGTGCCATGAATCAGCCCACCGCTGGCGATGAAAACACCCTAGGTTTGCTCCTCTCGTTCTCTATCTCTAGTCGCATTCTCTCTCTGTCTCACCTCTCTTTCTTCATCTCACGTGCGCGCATACACAAACCCACAACCCCCGCACACAATCACACACATATACACATCACGCACACACACAAAAACAAAGCACACCCACACACCTCACAGCAGCATACACACAACACAGTCAACTGAATTGGGTGTTTAATTTTGGTGTTCATTTGGGTTCTTGAATGTTAGGGTTTTTTTGTTCATAAAAAAAATTCTAGGGTTTTCAAATTGGGTGCAAATTCTCAAACACTACGATAGATCTATAGGCATGAAATTCTGGTAAAATTTTGAATTGTTTGATGTATGAAGTTTGCATATTTTTATGAAATTGAATGTTAGGGTTTTGTTGGCTTCATTTGGTTTGTTTTCTCTTTCCATTTTTGGTCTTTTGTTCAATGTTAATCTTTTTTCTTTTCTTATTTCAGGTTGAATTGAGTGATTAATTGGTGTGTATGAATGCTACAAGTCTGTGAACATGTTGGCAGTGTGAGAGGAAAAGATGAGAAGGGATGAGACTGGTATGTGTTTGCTTCTACCAATTTTCTGATTTTTCTCTGGAAAAATGAGATGATCTTTTGCATGAAATTTTCGTCTCTGCTTTTTTTTTTTTTTTGTTGCACTTAAATTTGTAACTTGGTTGGTTTCAATTTGGTGTATGAAATTTCAATGTTTCACATGGGTTTTATATAACAACTTTGAGTTTGATTGATTTGAGTGTCATGGTGTTTATCTATAACTTCGTTTACTTGAAATGCTGACTGCTTGAAGATCCGTGGACAAAAACCTGGCAAACTTCAGGGAATTGAATTGATCAACTAAACCAATGTAAACTACCACATGTATTTGTAACCATAATTTTGGAAATGAAATTTCACTAACTGCAATTTAAGCACAAATGCAATTTAAAATATCTTTGTAGGGGTTGGAATGGCAATGGTGCCAAGTATGTGATTTTATGGTGGTTTTGGGTTAAAGAAGTGTGAGGTTGAAAATAGATGTTCGTTTTCCAAATAAGGATATCTAAATTAATTTAGTTCATTCGTTTTATATCAGAAAATAATTGCTCATTTGTTTTTCTTGGCATGTTTAATACCTAGGTTGACATACCTTAGTGTCCGTTGGTGACCAAGAAAGAAGTTGCAATTGAGTAAGTTGATCTTCACATGCCCTAGCTATAATTTTTGTTTTTTTACTGCACATGCATTAGCAATCAGATTGTCCAGTGAATTAGATTAAGTTGATTTTAAGCTCACACTAATTAATTTTGTTTGGTTTCGTGTGGGGATTAGATTGCTCCATTGGTACATAAAAGGTTGATTAATTGCCAACTCTTCTGTGGGATGATGGGTTGAGTTTTTTGAGAAACATATGTTTCTATTGCTATTAGGATCGATTTGGCGCGAATTGGGAGGAAATTTTTTCTATGGTTGTGGCAATCACATCCACTCAAACACTCTTATGTGGCGAGGTAATTTTTTAGGGTGGGGCTATTTCCACCCATAAATCTCCTTTCCCACCTCATTTAATCATCTTACTTAAAACTACTAAATTCACCCCATTCATACCCACTCCAACAGTTACTAAATCCACTCTGTCTATTTCTACTTATTAAAAACTAAATTCATTCAATTTAATTTCAACTTACTATATAGGTAATAATCAATATTTCTGATGTAGACTATGAAGGGAAGAATTAGGGATGAAAAGAGAAGAAAAAAGGGATGAGAAAAGAGAAAGAATTTAAGGAGGAAGTAATATTAGTATTTAATAATAGTCAAATAATTAAAGTCTAGTCTCCATAAAACCCTTACATGCATCCCTTTATATAGGAAAACTAAAATCCTAAAACAAATAAATAATGACAAATAAACCCTCAAAAGTTAAAGAAAAATACTTAAAAGATAAATATTAAATTACTCTCATGATTAATCTAAAATATCTATTCAATTCCTATACGATCTTCATCAATTTCGTTTCAATGTATTATTTTGGTATGAAAATATTTCAAAAACAGAATAAAAATAAATAATTTATTCTTAAAATATTAGTTAAAATATACCAAAATATTTTATACACCTCAAAATATTTCTGTGACATGGTAAAAATATGTCGAAATATTTCAAAACACCTTGAAATATTCTAGATCACCTCGAAAATTTGAAATTTCGCTTCAATTACTACTTTTGTTTCGATTTCTTTGAAATATTTATTTAATAGTTTAATTAAATGGATTGGAATTGGGTGAACTTAATCATTAATAGAATGAGTACAGATGGGGTGAACTTAGTAGTTTGCAATAAGACAATTAAATGGGGTGA